CACGTCCTAGAGATTCCCAGTGTTGTATTCATTGCCCTATTTCTTATTGTAAAGGAAATGATTCCATGATTTTGTTATAACTTGGCATTGCATGGTTTTGGAAAGAGATATAAAATATTTTCGGCACGAGCATTGCATATGCATTCACCTTATATCTTTGTTAAGATTCATAAACTGTGTGGTAGTATCTCTACTGATCTTTGGCTCATCCTATGTGAGAAAACCATTTTCAGGTGTGGATTATATGCCTCCGCCAATGCAATAACTTGGGATGACTCGGGACTAAAGGCCTCTTTTGTGTATTGTTGTATTTAGGGTCACTACTACAAAAATAGTTAAAGATCATACTTTGACAAATGAAAATATCTCACTTTTATTAGAAGTGTGATAAAAAAATTAGATTGATATTTTAATCACACTTGATTTGATTGAGTATGATAATATTTATTTTTTATATCACTTTTCAATTAAGTGTGATTATATATATATATATATATTTTAATCACACATTCTAATTAACATGTGATTATATTTATTTTTTATGTCACTTTTCAATTAAGTATCATTATATCTTTTTTTTTAATCACAAATTATAATTAATGTATGATTATATATACACTACTACAATAATATATTTACTTTTAATCAGATTTTTTAAACATGGTGATGCTAGGGGCCTTGAATTGTCGAGGCTCGAATGCCTTGACATTTCCTCTCTTTTCCTTTTTTTAATCACATTCTAATTAACATGTGATTATATTTATTTTTTATGTCACTTTTCAATTAAGTATCATTATATCTTTTTTTTTAATCACAAATTATAATTAATGTATGATTATATATACACTACTACAATAATATATTTACTTTTAATCAGATTTTTTAAACATGGTAATGCTAGGGGCCTTGAATTGTCGAGGCTCGAATGCCTTGACATTTCCTCTCTTTTCCTTTTTTTAATCACATTCTAATTAACATGTGATTATATATATACTACTACAATAATATATTTAGCTGAAATCCGGCATCTCCTCCCTCCATCTTCAAATGGCATCATCACCAACAATGGCGTCACTGCTTCTGCAACTCCATCATCACCACATCTCCGCCGTGAAGTTCGGCCCCTTCAAGCTGAAATCCGGCATCTCCTCCCTCCATCTTCAAACCCTAACCCTCTCCCTCAAATCTCCGCCGATCTCCTCCTGATCTCCCACACACCACCCCCCCCACCTGCAACATCTTCCCCTTTTCTTGCTCATCAAGGAGGTTACGTTCCCCGTCAGGTAGTTACACAGCCTCCACCTGTACAGTCTACCCCTTTTGCTACCCGTCAGGGAGGTTATGGTCGCCCCCCACCTGCTTCTGTTACTCCTTCACAGCCACCTAGCCCGTCCCGAACCACATCATCGGCTCCGGACTCCACAGTCCAGTTCCCGCTCGTGCACGCCTTTGGGTACTCCGACTTCTCCGCCGCCGGCATCGAGGCGATGGCTGACCAGTCCTTTCTCCCTCATCCATGAAAACAACCAGTCACCAACTTTGGGCTGCTCGGTTTGATGCAGAGCCTGCCAGAGTATATGAGTGAATAAAATAAACACGTTGGAGTTGAGGCACTGGGATAGCCACCCGTTACACAAACACACATACACACTGCCAAACTCACACCCGTGGTCTCCCACATGCACTTGATGATAACATTATTTTTCTTTTTTTTCTTTTTTCATTCAACCCACTCCCTCTCTCTCTCTTTTCTCTTAATTTATTCCCTTCTCTGCCCCATACACTCAACACACTGTCCCATCCACTCACATGCACGACATCCGTTCTCTGTTTATTATTTTTTTTTTTATATTCCACCGAACCAAAAAAATAAATAAATAAATCAATAAATAAATAAAAATAACAAACATAAAAATAAAATAAAAAAAAAAAAAAAAAAAAAAACTCTCCCTAAAAAAAACTCTGCAGCTTTGAACTTTGAACAATCTTGTGTCATTCTTTCCACCAAAACAAAACGCACAAAACTGCACACCAAACTCCTTTATTCATGTCGGGATCACCCCGATCACAATAAAAAAAAAAAAAAAAAAAAAAAAAAAAAAAAAAAACAAACAACAACCACATCCCGTCTCTACTCTGCCGCCGGTCTCTTCTTTTTGCCTCCGTCCTGGACGGCCCTTGCCGGTGTTGCCTCCGTGTTTCCCACTCCACTGGGCACGATCACTAATCCCTGCTCCTCCACTGCAGCATATGGCGGACCCCCGAATCGGAACATCACGGTGGCCTTCCGCTTCAGCTCCTTGTTTTCTGCCCTTAGCACGCTTATCTCTGCTCGCGCATCCTTATACATGCGTTGGAGCAGAGCCAGCTGGGAGTTTAACTGCTGCACCTCATTTGTCCTAGCTCTGGCAGCACGGTTCGAGCACAAATTTGTGACCGCCGTCATGCTTTCCACACATGCCTTCAGAGTATACTGATTGGCCTCCACATCCGACTGCACTGCCATTCTTTGCTCCACCAGACCGCATCGGAAAATTCAAGCGGAGCAAACTCCGGGGCGCTTGGTTGAGGTTCCGTGCCACCGCACCAGTTCTCTCTCTTGTTGACTCGTTGAGGTCGGGAAAGAGGGTGAGCAGCCCGCGGAAGACGATGAAGCCATTTTCTAGGCACCAGAGTGTTACACAGTATCTCTCCTCAGAACTCTCTCTCAGAAACAGAGTGTTACAGAATCTCTTCTCCAAAATCTCTCTCAGAAGTTCTCTTCGCAGGTTTTTTGCCTCAGCCTCAGCCTCTGTCTTATAGCCGAGGCAGCCACGCGCATCGCGCGCGCCTCTTCCCACCAGCGACAACACGGGCGCGCAAGCCAAGGCGCCACGTGCCTCGCCATCATGTCGGCACTGTCTTCTTGATATTGACGCTTAAATTGATGGCCCAACGGCCTTTATGACCTTGAAAATTAGCACACCTTTTTGAGGTGCAACTTTTTCAACGGTCCGGACAGTGACCCATAAACTGTCCCCGAACATTGATTCCGGTTAGCCTTCTACAAGCGGTCCGACATGACCCGTATAAACTGTCCCGACATTTGAATTCCGGTTAGCATCCAGTGTCCTCCTACATACGTATGACACCACCATCCAGTGTCCTCTACAACGTTATGGCACACCATACAGTGTCCTCTACCACGTTATGACACCACCATCCAGTGTCTTCTACACCGTTATGGCACACCCATCCAGTGTCCTCTACCACGTTATGGCACCACCTTTCAGTGTCTTCACCAACGGTCTGACACGACCATACAGTGTCTCCTATCTTTTTTTTTTTTTTTGTGTATTTTCTTGTTTTGTAACTCTCTCCAAACTCAAGTTGGTTAGTTCCTATCCTCCTTGAGTTTGCGGGGGGCTGTTAGAATTTACCATAATTCACATCCACCTACCACCTCCACTACACTCCACCTACCACCTCCACTACCACCTTCACCTACTCCCAAATTCTCTCCTATATAAATCCTTGTAATATACACAACAAAATACATCAATCTTGTAATCAATTAGATATCAATCAATAATACATCAATATTTTACACAACTGGCTGTAAATTAATAATGCAAGTTTAAGATTGTTTTCAATAGGATCCTGAATTCTTGTTTTGCCCAAGGAAATAAAAGATTCATATCCGTGATTCTGTCTGTATTGAATCTTAATGCAAGTTGAAAATATATAGTCATAACTGAGTGTAGGTCCACTAGCTTTTGATGAATATCATTTCTTGGATTCTACATTTCCCTTAATTGTGATTTTCTTTTGAATTTTTCTTATAAATGTTTTAAATTATTTTATCTTTGATTTATCATAAATTTGTTGAAATTATTATTATGTCTTGTTTCATTGAAGTCTACAGTTTCATTGGAAAGAAATATCAGCACTTTTGCCTGTTCAATGGTATGCTTTGTGCCTGGGTTTATTTGCATCAATTATAGCTCTTTAGGGGTTATTTTTTGCAAGTGGCTTGAAGAGAGCTTTTCAAATTAAGGTGCATCTTGTTCACTATTTCTTTGCTCAAATTTATAAATTTGTATCAGTATCCAAATGAGATCCATAGTAAGTGTTCATTTGCTTTCTTCCTCAATTATTGCAGGATTTTGGTGATAGTATATTCCTGGACACAGGGCCGGCCCTGAGTTTGTCGGGGCCTAAGGCGAATTTTGAAAATGGGGCCCTTTTATATTGAAAAAAAAAATCATGAATAAAACGATAAGTTACAATTTTTTTATTTGTTTGTAATCATAAAAAAATTTACTTACACATATAATTATTAAAATTATAAATAAAACAAAATTAGAACAAAAAAATTAGGAAAAAATTATTCAATTAAAATTGATAAAGACCTAGGTAAAAAAATTTGAGCAAAATTATTTATTCCACTAAAATCTAATAGATAAAGAAGGTAAAAATAAAAAATAAAAAAACATAGGGCCCATATATTGTATGTATTATTTTTCTTGAGCCCAAACACTTTTTTTTTAATATATATTTTCATGGACCAAACTACACTTATAAATAAATATGGAGTAAATCATGCATGGACCTAAAAAAATATTTTGGGGCCCTTTAAATTGATCCTAAAACCCAAAAAAAAAAAACATTGAGCCTATAATATTTTGCCAAATTTAGGGGCCCTATTTTTGGGCCAAATTTAGGAGCCCTATGTTATATATGTTTATATGTTTTACCAAATTTAGGGGCCCTATTGTTTTTTATTTATTTATTTATATATTTTCATTTTAATAAATATGGGCCAAACACATTTATAAATAAATATGGGCTAAATTATGCATGGGCTAAAACATTTGGGGCCCTTTAAATTGATCTTAAAACCAAAAAAAAAAAAAAAATTGAACCTAAAACAATTTTTTAAATTTTGGGGCCCTATTTTTGGACCAAAATATGGGGCCTAAGGTAGAAGCCTTACTTGCCTTAGGGCAGGGCCGGCCCTGCCTGGACATGGTGGGTTTACGGACAGAATGGACTGTCAGGTTGGCTACTAAAATTTTCAGTTCTTGCAGACATTTATTCATACCAATTCATTTGTTGCCTCAAAATTATTCTTATTCTTAAGATATTATATTCTCCAATGTTAGATTTCTTCTTTGGCTGATTGTGAGTAGTATGTGCTAAAATTTTTTATATATTGTTTCATTTTCACAATGCTGGTTACTTTGTTCCAGATTATTTTTATTCTTTAGCTACACATCTGATTTGTTTTATCTTTCTAAACGTTTGTGCTTTGCATAGAAGAAAATAAATAACCATAGGGGGAAACAAAGGGTGAACAACTAAATTGGTATGGTTCAACTCAAAGAGTTAATTCAGATTGGCTGCTTATATAGCTCACTTTGAACATCATGTGAGGAAATTGTTTCATATTTTTTTTCCCTTTTTTTTTTTTTTTTTTTTTTCTCTTCTCTTCATCTGTGCTATTATTAGCATGATCAAGTTTCTTTTCTTAAGGTAAGATTTTTTTGTCACTTCCATGCTATTTTGTTGGTATATTTTTGTTAAATCTAAATTTATTTCAACATGTGTCATATTGTAAATTGCTGAGGTGTATCAAGCATGCATTTTTAAGATAGCTATTTGTACATATATTTAATGTATTTCTCTTCTCATAATTGCTTATCTTTGACCTTTTTTATTTTTTTTAATGTTCCTATCAGTTTGTGTTTTTTATTTTTAAGATTATAAGATTGATTGATTTTCTTTTAAATTTTATTATTATTTATAAATTGGGATGGCCCCCATTGAACACCATGTCATTCCCCACCTTCCAAACTGACCACAGCATCACTAGTGGCACCATATTCTAAATTTTCCTCTCCTTCATCTTGAGCTTCACCCCATCCCACCATTGTAGCAAGGCTTCAATACCCAACACACATCCCATCAGGTCACTAATGCAGACCAGACTGTCCTATACTGCATGACAGAATCCTCCTTATCCTCTGATAACTGCAACAATCTTGGAAATTCCTCACTGAGCAATCTATTATTGCACCACTTATCAGACCAATTTTTTTTTCTTTCCCCATTCCCAGTCCTTACTCCTGCATTTGCCAAGTAAAACTCTACCAGCAGTGGGTTATACTTGGCAATACTCAATATACCCTGCCTAACTAGAGACAGGCTTCTTTAATAACTCTGCCAGCAGTGGGTTATCCTTAGCAATACTCAATATATCCTTAGTAAAACTCTACCAAACCCCTTCGTTAATAGACTTCAATTCCAGTTGTTGAATTCAGCTGTTGAAAATAAAGGGCACAAATCACATGGTGTCACACTTTTGGATCATATGAAAATTGGTGGAACTTTATTCTAAGAAACTTCCTTTCAATCCATGTAATTTACTTGTTGAGATGAAATTGGATGCACTCTTTACAAATTAATGATATCAATAATAAAACTTGTTTATGATAGGTATCATTTTTGTGGGTTAAAATGGAATGGGAGCTCAACTTGTTTGGCTAAAAAATATACATTTTCTAAGTGATGGAAGCACGCCTCCTTTCTTGTTATGGGCAAGAAGCATATGCCAAAGTTAAGAGATTGCTTTTTGAACAGTTTGAGAGATTGCTTTTAGAAGCATTCATGATGCATAATCAAGGCAGAGGAAATGTCATTTTGGTCTAAAGTCAGTTGTCTTTTTATTTATATGATTGGAAAGGAAAACTTCTTTGACGACCAAAGTGTGGATTATTTGAGCCATGATACGCATGAGTAAACATAAAAAGCTATAAACCCATGATAAAACAACATAATCCTAATTCTCCACAATACTGAAGTCTCAGAAAATGAGTTTAACCTTCCAGTCCTCAGAAAAAAGAGAGTACCCGAAGTTACGAACATATGAATCTGTAAATGATGGGGCTTGCTTGCATCCTTGTAAGAAGCACTGTTTGTGTGTGTGTGTGTGTGTTTTTTTTTTTGTCAGAAAAAAGTTACCTCTCTTTTGCTCTCTTGTTTGTCGTACTGCAGTTGCTTGAAGCAGCCTGGTGTTTTACAAACATAGCAGCAGGAAAGCCAGAAGAGACTAGAGCTTTGTTGACTGCTTTACCATTGCTCATTGCTCATCTAGGAGGTTGGTGATGGTTTCTGCATTTTCCATTCAATGTGAAAGAATGTAAATGTCTCTTTCTTTTTCTTATCAGAAAAAGCAAACGCTTTTTTCCTTTTTCTTCTTCTTTTTGTGTGTAGTATTTTCTTTCTCCATATCCTCTTCATAAATTAATACCGGAAAGTTGTTATGGCTTTCTGAGACCTAAGAGTGACTGACAGTAATTAAAGATATCAGGTTAAGTACTCTACATTGAAATTGGATTACATAACCAAGTATGTCCATTTTTTGATCATTGAACTGCTGTTTTTGTGGAATAGCACTATTATTGAGTTGGGTGAAGTAGTGAAGGTTAGGGTGGAATAGCACTATTATTGAAGTCTCCAAAGTATGCATTGCTCATTGCTCATCTTGGATTATGTTGTTTTATCATGTACTCCTATAATATGAGGGAGTATGCATTGCTACAGTACATATGGCACTCTTTTTTTGGATCTTTTCTGCCCTTGTTCCTTGTTCAGTGAAACGCTCCATCTGCTTTAACATTGTGGACCATTTTGTAAATTGCTACCAAAGTGAAAACTGTGTTTGTTTTTTGTTTTTTGTTTTTTGTTTTTTGTTTTTTTTTCCTTATATATATATATATATATTAGTACCTTTTTTAACTGCTTGATTAACAAAGTGTGAACCACAACCGTCCACGTTGACCTTCTTGGGAAGCCAATTTCTTGTATTATTTTTTTATTTTGCTCTGGAGAATAGGTGAGCGGCTTCTTTGACATGGCTTGCAAAATCTTCTCTCACGGTTCAACAATCAAATCAAACAATCACCGAATCTTGTCTCTCTATATCCCTCAGTAGTCTCCTCTCTCTGGACGATGATGGTGGTGAGAAACCCTATTGGAGATGAGTTGCTTCTCTTTTTTTGTCTCTACGTGTCCTGTTATTCACTTTTGTTCAGTTTCTTTACATAATCTGACTTCGTGCTGGTTAGTTTGGGGTTTTCCATTTTTTATTTTCTTTTGCATTCGCATTTTTTTCGCCGGATAAGGGTTTGTGGGTTTGACTTTGTTTTCTCTGGGTTTGTCTTTTCTGTTCTCAGTTGTCGGACAAGCTCTTGCTGGTTTTCCTTATTTTGCTGGTTTATCATTCTGTTTTTGTGCTTTATATGTATATTTCTGTAAATATTAATCATGAGTGAAGTTCAACCTTTTTATTTTTATTTTTAGAAGAATAAATCAAAAAATCGGTGTGCATATATTTAAAAAAGCAAACACAAAATGTGAAACCTTTAATAATTTTGTTTCTATCTTATTTACATTTTAATTTTCAAATTAATTATTGTCATACAATCATATCCCCCATCTAGATAATAGATTACTGCACATATATCTATATATGCATGTGTATGTATCTATTTGTAACTGAAATTATTAGGATTTCATAATTTCTTCAACATGCAGTGGGACCATTCTTATTCGTTGATTTTCTTTGGGGGTTTTAGAATATTTTAAAATTTTCTTTCATATCTAAGCTAATTTATGTGTTCTAAAATTTTTACTGTACAGTCTTGTATATATGTGAATTAAGATTAATGCAAATATTAATTTTTTTTCCTTATGTAGGCATCTTCTTGTAAATCTCGCATAATCTCATTCTTATTCAGGAAAGAACTTTAGCTTTTAGGGCATTTCACTAACCATATCCTCAATTTTCTACTATCTTAAATTAAAAATGGGTTCCATTACTATTAAAATTAAATAAATAAAAGCACCAATAGACTCATAAGCAAAATGGCTTTTAACTTTTTTTAAAACAAACACAAGTCTTCAAATGTCATTGGCTTTTCTTCGGCTTCGGATGTTTCTTTGATACTTGACATGAAACGTCATGAGTTTTGAATGCCTAATAAACGTACACACACTAACGCCTTTTTTTCCCAATCTAATAAACAATAGGAATTACAACAATAGGGGAAAGAAAGATGATATTCAAGTAAATAACAAAGGTTATAAGGTTAGTTAGTAATTTAGAAATTTTTCAAAGAGATTTTATCCTCCCAATCTCGAGAATCGGATGTTGATTATTCAGTATGCCCTTTTTTTGGTTACTTTGTAGATCTTACTCCCAATGCTTACCAACGGTTACATATCACGTAACGCCAACAGAGGTCCTCAAAAGAGACGGTAAAATAAGGACTTTGTTAATTCCTTCCTCACCAAAATCACCTAGGGTTTGAATATAACAACTCCGTTCAAGGATTCCAAAACAACAACTTGCGTAAGACTTTACCTTTCAAAAGGGAACACGTCTTGCTAACCAATTCAATGTAAACATAACCTTATCTCATAACAATACTCATGTGATTGAAACCTCATTAGCCACCCTATTAAGTTCTCCGTTTAGATTAATGTTTTAAGTTAGTTAGCACAAGCAAATAAAAAATAAATAAATAAATTTGCATAAGTATGAGTATCATCAAAAGATTAAAATAAAAGGTATATATATAACCATGACATATGTAATATCATACTAAGACATGATCACAAACTAATAGGTACATTCATGAAGATAAGAGCATAGAACACTACTGCAAAAATAAATTTCTAGATTCGGTACCATTTAAGGATTAAAATTAAAAGAACCATTTCAGATTTTTCTCGAGCCTGGTCATCTTATAGTTCGTAGAAAATTTTATCTAGTTTCAAAATATTTTTCAAAAGTGAGATAGCTTTTCTAGATTTTTAGTTCTTCAAGAAATACTCTAGCGCTGTCCAGATTTGTTGATCGTTACACAAATTGGATTTTCTTTCAAACCGTTCACTCTTTTTCAATAAAACCAATTTTACTTGAAAGCTAACCCTTTAAGGAAGTTTTTGACATAAAAATTAGGTCAAGAAATTTTTTCTACATTTTTCTAGAATTTTCGCAAGTTGCCTGAAAAGCTGGTTCTTTGAGCACAAAGATTGAAATAATAGAAAAGGTAAGAAAAGAGGATAACCAAAGATAATTTTTCACTTGTTTTATAATAAAAACATGTTAAATAGTATATATTAAACTCAGAAATTCATATTGAAGGTGTTCCTTTAGAAACTATGAGAGATAGGGGTAGAAAAAGATAGTTTTGCATCGATTTAGAGAAAACACAGTAAGAGTGGAATAAGGCTCAATTCTTTTCAATTTTAAAACAAGAACACCATTACAACGCATCTGAAAATATTATTTTGAACCTCTAGTAACATATATTTGAAAAAATAAAATAAAGAAGAGAGTTGTATTGTGGCTTACTTGAAGTTAGGTGAAGTGCAATTGCCGACTAAAATTTAGTTGCTAAAAGAAAAATATATGCCGACTAAATTATTTTTAGTAGTTAAAGATTGTATATTTAGTGACCAAATTTTTGTTGCCCAAAACTCTATTTTCAACGACTAAAACTCAATTGGTTGGCAAAAGTAAAACAAATACCAACTAAATTACTTTAGTAGCTAAAGATTGTACATTTAGGGACCAAATATTTTTTTAGTCTTCAAAAACCCTATGTGCAATGACTAAAACTCAATTAGTCGCCAAAAGTTAAACAAATGCCGGCTAAATTATTTTTAGTAGCTAAAGATTGTACCTTTGCCTACCAATTTTTTTTAGTCACTAAAGCGTGCACCTTTGCCAACCAAATTTTTTTTAGTAGCTAAAGTGTATACTTTTGGCAACTAAAATTTTTACAGTCCGCATTTTTAGTTGCTGAAAGTGTATTTTCTCGTAGTATAAATGTGACATTATTGATGTGGTAGTCCAAACTAATGACATAAAATTACACTTTTGATATGGTGACTCACATTTGTTTGGTAGTTAAGAGAAGGGTTATAAATGTGAGTTGTGATTTGTCGTTTGTCAAAAATATAGGTGAGCAATGTTACATGGTCTCTCTTCTCAAGGAAAGAAAAGAGTACTGGAAAGCCGATATTGCTTAATAGGTTGAAATTAATACTAAATGTTTGTGTTTCCCTCACATTTTTTGCTTGATTGTAATGCTTTTAGAACGAAGGTCTTGTTAACAAATGTCTAAGAAGTACAAGAAAAAAACAGGACAAGTGTAGAAATTAATACATTTTTCATTAGGTTCATAACACTTTTCATTTATTTTAAAATATTTTTTTAATTATTTTAATATTTTCAAGACACTTTATATACTAATCCTCACATCAAACAATGTATTTGCCTTAAAAACAAATGTAATAGTGTTGGTAGTAGTTAGTTTGGTGCTACAAAGTCCAATTGATTGGGCCTTCCCTATATAGGGAATGCCTACTTATAACACAATGTCCAAATCACAAATGCCTGGCAGATGGGATGCTTACGTCAACAAGACAAACCATATTTCTTAAGACGGGCAGACTTACTTGCGGAACCCAAGAAAACACTGTCATCAAGAGGAAAACCATACCTTTTTTGCATGAATCTCTGGAGAATCCCCGTTGTTTAAGAGTTTCTTCTTTAGTAAAAGTTCCTCCAGCCTGGAACACAGTTGAACTTGTTCAAAGGCTTCTTTCAAAGCCTACAGGAAAAACAAAAAACCCATTTGGTTTTATGAGTTTTACCATTTTCCCTAATTCAAAAGGCGTATATAATATATACACACACAAACATAAACTTAGTAAACCTAAAACTCATTCAAAATGAACCTAATGATCAACAATAGAACTCTAGTAACTTTTCTATTAAATAAAAGAACAACACATAGATTGATTTTATTTCATTAGAATAACAATTTCAAGTGTCGCTTGTAGTATTGAAAGATTAAAATCCAAAAACATTACAATCATTCCAAAAGGTTTTTTCAAATCAGTAATTGGCCCAGATATGTAATCTCACTATTAGATGTGTGTGAGTATTGAATCAATCTCACCTCTACGAAAGTGAGAAAATGGGTTGACCATGGGGTTTAACATATGGCTAGTTACTGTTCGAGAAAGCTCATGCCCATAGGTGAGAATTATTTTTCTCCAACCACAGAGACAGAGAGCAAGGAAGGTACCCTGAATGAAACAGAAAAGGAATAGATGTATAAATGAAACTGAACTTACCATTAAATTTCACATTTGGCTGGACAAACTCTGGCCAGGTCATAGCAAATTGGATCAGTTAATAATATACATATTAACTGGAACCTGGATCTGGCTTAGACCCAAAATAATTAGGTTCTTTTCTCAGTATCTCAGCTTCTCTACTCTGTAATGATGGCAAATTAAAATTATATTTCGCATTACAGAAACTGTTGAGGTTTGGTAGATCTTTCAGTATTAGCCACTCCAACTTTGGGAATTCAATCACATCATCAATCACTTCCTTGAGCCCATCCTCTGTTGCTGCAATAACTTCTTCCATCACCGGACAAGACTCCAAATAAAGTACTTTAAGTTGTTGAAGAGCCATGGCTGTGGAACATGTGAATAGATTTCTCAAGAGGGAACATTTCTTAATTGTTAGGTATTGTAGGATTTGAAGGCCCAGAATTCCATGGGGATCCTTGTTCCACAAACATGTCAATTGAGGTAATCCATCCAATTCCATCATTTTTACTTCAATTAATGGCCTAACATGTTGTCCTTCTCCAACATTTAGCCCCTCAAGTTGAAAAACCTCTGCCACCTCACTACAATTTCTCACAATTAATTTGTTCAGATTCGCTACATCCAAGAAATTTAAACATATTTTGCTAGCCTGAACATTCCAAGGATGTATCTCTCTTGAGTTTACACAATTATTGAGAATTAGTGTCTCCAACCTTGGAAAAGAAACCTGCAAAGATTCATTTTGGCATCTTGCTTAATAGGCTTGTATATTGGAATTCAACGTCAGTGATGATTGATGAGACATGTTTCTCATATTGATGAGCCAAAATTTTATTTTATGTACGGATTATAAATTTAAGTAAAGATTTTTTGAAAAAAAAATGTAAGAGCAATGTCAATAAAATATAAATTAACTTTTTTTTTATTTCCCTCTGTCTTTCTAATTTATATCCAAATGTTCAATATATATATATATATATATATGTACAGATTTGTTTATTAGATATGATAAATCATGTAAATAATGATTAGCAAGTGACACACGCAATGCGTGTGCAATGTAGATAAGTAAGAATAAAAATAAATAATAAAGAACTTAATATCATAATATGTATGGTGCCTAATTGGTAAGATTGTTTTTAATGAAACTCAAAGTCTTGGGATCAAACCTTGATCACACGCTTGAATTACAATTTTTTATTTTAGGCTAGATAAAGCTGCCACATACCATGGCGAAGGCTTGACTAAACAAAACAAAATTGAGATACACATATCTCATAAAAGGTAGATCTCACATATATTTGGAGGTGTAAATCCTTATTATTTTAAATTTTCTAACATAATATATGATATTTTCTAAATTTTTGGGGTGCGGTCGCCTCCCTCCACACCCCCTAAATCCATCCTTGGGATCTCACCCGTTATATGATATCTATATTTCATTATGTGTTTAGTTTTTGGAGGATTGCTTTATTCCATTTACAAATTAACACTAAACATTTTGTCTCCTAGAACATTAAATAATTTATGTTAGTTTTTGTGTTCTTGACATTGATATAGCAAGATTGGCCCCTACTAAATATAGCACTAAAGTAGAGAAGATTGAGCTTTAAGCTGTTATTAATTAATTACTAGTAACAACTCAAGCCAGCATGCATAGTCCATCAATTAATGTAGTTTTAAAATTGGATCAATGGTCGGGATTGAACTTCCAAGAAGTTTCCTAAGATGTTTTGGGCAGGGGCAAGTTAACATTTTCATAATGGTAAAGTTGTGGGAGTTGATTTGTGACCTCCTATAATAGGTATTGCTCAATATTTTTGAGGTTTTAGAAGAAATTATAATAGTGATTTTTCCATATTCAAATATTACAACTAGGAATCATGTAGAAATTGATATCATTTCCCTAAAACCCAAGAGGCGTAATTCCAAAAGAAGGCAATTGAGGATTGATGATCGGGAAATTGCAATCTAAATTTAAAGTGGTTATGAGGGAATAATTTTGGATTGTGAAACAGAATAAAATCATATTAGTCAAAACCAAAAAAACAAAATATGACATCCAATATTTAAATATTTTTTTAATGAACTCCAAATCAAGATTAGGCAAATTACAATTTTGGACATAATTTTAGTCAAATAAAATCATATTAAGATTCATATTCAAAATAAAAACATAGTGTTAAATTTAGAATTCATACATATTTTTGTTTGGGTAATATTGTAATTTCCATCGTAAGCCTCTAGCATAGCCACCTTGAAATTATTTTACTTTTATTTGGATTTGGATAGAAAGAGAATATTCGAATAAGCTTCAAATTTAAAATTGTAATTGAATAAGAATTTTGAATTTTTTTCTGTGTGTGCACGCTTTTCCATGGCTAAGGTTAATAAAATAAATTAGGAAAATCAAACCTGGTAGTTGAACAAGGGTTGTGCTTCAAATCTTGTAGACCAGTTGTAAAAACTTTTAAGGCTTATCAAATTTCGAAGAGTAAGTTTCGTTAATTGAGATAACCCGATAATATCATTATTGGCGATTCCTTCTTCTTCTTCTTTTTCTTTCTCTGAGACTATCGATTCCACCTTTGGACAATTATCTACCCCGAATATGTTCAGATTTTGCAGTTGTGGGAGCATATTGAACTGAACCACATGCACCAATTTCTCACAATCAGAAACTGTCATATCTTTTAATTGGCAGAAGGACTTTGATTCTTTTTCTGAAGCTATGAGTAATTGCTTGTCCCATATCTCTATTATGGTAGGCAATTTCTGAATTTTCAAATACTCCAAGACTGGGAAAGCAACCTGTAAAATGTTTACAACACTTTAGGTTAATGACTGTTACAAAATTGTCGATAAGCAACAATTGTCAATTGCAACACTCTCAACATGCATGCTCTAATCATTTTTTTTTATCAACACAAAAACTTTATTGATGAGAGAAAACCTTACAAGAAAGGAAGGTAGACATCAATAAAGGAGGGGGGGGGGGATGATGCAAAGGCCATCATAGTGAAACTGCCCAATCCCAACAAGGTTGGCATTAAGTAGCCCATACAATCATATGACAGCACCAACCAAGAATCTGTTGGTAAGGGACTAACAAATACACCGACAACACTAAACCAAAATTAGCAAGTATGACAACACTAATACAAATACAATAGAACTAGCAGCCCAGAAGTGACCAAAAAAATCTTCGTGCAATACAAAACTCAGTCAACTGAAGCAGGTGTCGCCTAATGAGCAAACAGCAAAACAACATCTATATCAACAACTCCAAAATGCCACCCAATACCTCATAACAACCTCCCTAGCAAGCCTTAAAATAGCTAAACAGCTCACCATGGTGGACAACATGAGGCAATAGAAACCAGCAGATAACAGAGCAGATCACAGCAGAAAACCAACCATATAACAGCAAACCAAGTGGCGGCAGACCAAGTTTCCAAACCAGCTAATATCCCTCAACTACAGTCCTTAATCTGATCCAGATTGTTGATTAAATCCAAGACAAAGTACATGAACCCCTTTGCAGAAGCTTTAACCCACAGAGCAAATCTCAACTTAATAAGCTCACATAACTCAGACCCACAAGTCTTAACTTCCAAATGGACCACAGAACAATAGAAGGTAAGGCCCTCCACAATCTCCTAACCAATTTCTTATGATTCTAACCTAACCACCAATGAAATAAACAATCAATAGACCTTGGCACCACCCAAAAACACCCCCACCATAGCAACAAATCAGACCATACTTTCCATGAAAAAGGACAATGTAAGAGGACATGAGTGGCAGATTCATTTTCAGTTTTGCAAAAGGCACATAAGACAGAAGCACTGCTATGAAGGACACCGATATTTTGTAAAAGATCCCCTGTTTTAACTCTATTCCTCCAAGCTAACCAACCAACCAAAAAATTGAACTTTGGGGGGAATAAGCTTATTCCAAACAAACTTACAAATTTTGAGCTGAGGGCCCAAAAGAGAATCAATGAACCTATATATATCAGATACCTTAAGGCATGCTCTAATCATGTATGAGCTTTTGTACTTGTGGCTATGTGCAAATGAAGAGCAACAGGCAAGAAATTTGATAATTGCATATCTCCATATTCTTCTCAAATATTTGGAGTATCTAATTATTAACTAAAGCACCTTTTGTTGTCAGCTCTTCACATTGTTTTCCATCTTTCATCATTATTTTTCTATTTTCCTTTAATAATCTGTGTTCCATAATTTTATTGGTTATTTTTTAGGTAAGGTAAATTATGTTGTTGATTTGAGTATTAGACCTATGAAAAAGAAGAAAATTTTATTTTAACAATTCATCACGTGCCTTGATTATTTTTTATATTGATAATTTCTTATATAATTTAATATTCATTTTCTTGACATATCTATTTAAGTTAGATGGTAAAATAAATGAAATTATTTGAACTCCACTTATGTTGGGCACATTAAAATTATTTTAAGAACGACTCATTATATAAATAAGTTAAAATTGAACATATTTTGAAACTTATCATCAATTTTCTGAGTTCAGCTCGAACGTAGTTCCATAAACTATTAAATGTATAATACAATATCAAGTTATTTGAACTCGGTTCGATTAAAGCTCATTTGTGTTCGGCTCAAATGGTAAACAAAGATCATCTTTTGTTGATAAAAAATAAAAGGACAAACTCAAATATATTTTTAAACTCATTAAGTTTTTCAAATTAAACTTGAACAATATTTTGTTGTGCCTTTGAAGATGTTTTAGGTTTCTATTTAAGAGATGTTAAGTCCAACTTTAGGCCCTACAGAAGATATGGCCCCACACCACAGGTAGATTGTGTTCACAAAAACCATCCATCCCACAAAAGTCGCGCATCGTTCTCTATTTTAGATACTAATCTGGTCATCATGTTTTAAGTTACTTACCCAAAAAAAATCATGTTTTAAGTTTGTTCTACTAGGGTCATGCTTGTTTCTTTGTTACGTTGTTCTACATTTTTGTAATTTTGTTAGGTTTTGATTATTTCTCATGTACTTTTTTTTTATCTAAAACTGTGTTTGATTTATGAATTTGTGAAGTGGTTTGGAAATGAAAAAAGAAAAAGTAGATGAAATATTAATGAAATATAACTAAATTTCACACATCTTTTCCGTTTCACTTCCAAATCTTTCTCCAAATTTATGAACCAAACATAGCCTAAAGCAATAAAATGGTGGCATTATTTTTGTTAAACACACCCCAAAAAAGGAAAATATTATATGAACTATGACAACTCAACTTAGGGATAAAATTTTTGATTTTTACTATGTTATTCTTTCAAGTTTTTAGATAGTAATATTCAAGCAAATGTCAAAGTATTAAATTGGAAAGATTCAAAATAAATACACATTATCAATACATGGCCAACAAGGGTGCCTTTCGGGCTATGGGAGTCCACCACGGGTCACGTTTTGATTATTTAAAATTTTCATTTTGTAAAGTCCGTAGTGTATATCATCTAAAAAAAAAAAGATTGATCCAATAATCTTAGCCTATTTAATTTATTATAATTGTATCTAAAAAAAAAGAGTGATAAGTGTGTTTAAAATACATACAAACATACATACATATATATATACATTTGTGTTTCTGGTTTTGCTGGTCATGTGCAACCAAAACTGATGAGGACATTCATACCTGGCTAGTGAAGAGGGATTGTGTTTCAGATCTAAAGGTGAAAAAGCTCTTGAGGCTCCACAAACCATCAAGTATCAAACTCGTTAGTTGAAGGAACGAGTTGGTATTATTGTTGTTTTCTGCTTTTTCTTCTTCTTCCCCCCCATTCTTCAATACTATTACTTTCAGCTCCCGACAATAGCTAACCTCAAGTTCTTTTAGTTTCGGTAATTGTCGGGGCATATTGGACAAACCGACATACACCAGTTTCTCACAGCTCCTGATGGTCAAGTCTCTCAATTGTCGAAAAGACTCTGATGGAAGTAATTTCCTATCCCATATCTCTGTTATCATTGTTAGTCCATCAATATCCAATCTCTCCAAGGCAGGGAATGTAACCTGCAACATTCATAACATAATTGTTAAACATTAGACTCCAAGGTCAGCATTATAACAAGTAGTACAATGTAGCCCAATAAATTTATGTTAGTCTTAATTAGTCAATAATTGAAGTCCAATAAATTGATTTTACTATGTTCCTAATGCCAAAACTTAAATTGTTGGTTCCATAACAGTTAATATGATTTTGTTTTATGTAATGGAAACTATAATAGATTGGAAGTAACAAATCTTTTTGTTGCATTGGTGCAACCTTTTGTCCTCATTGTCCAATTGGTGTTGTGCACGAGTTGGTTTGATTGTTTTGACAGCAAATCATCAATTGAATATATTAAGAAAATTTCAACCAACTATAAATCTACCCTTTCTCAAAATTAATGGGTTTAGCAGATTAAAAGTACAAAATGAGAGAAAATCAGCCTTCACATTATTTTCACATATCATCGTGATTTTTTCTATTCGACTTTGATAATCTGTGTTCTATGATTTTATGAAAGGGAATTGTTTGTCTCCAATTGAAATTTCAACTGGACCAGACAATTGAGATCTCTTCCTGATAAAAGTCATTAAACGGAGGTCTCTTACCGCTGCGAGTTTATGAAAAGATTTAACTAAACGAAGAGTTAAAATAATGGGCCAATGCATTTCATAAACTCTTACTGGTAAAAGACCTCTGTTTAATGACTGTTATTGGTAAGAGACCTTAACTGTCTGTTCCATTTGAACTTTCAATTACAGAAAAGACAAATCCCTTATAAAAACGCACCATTTGAGGTTGATTTGTGTATTTATTTTGAATCGTTGCCTTTCGGGCCGTGGGAGTCCACCATGGGTCACGTTTTGATGCTTTAAATTTTTCATTTTGTAAAGTCCTTAGTGTATATAATCTAAAAAAAAAGATCGCTCCAATAATCTTAGCCTATGTAATTTATTACAATTGCATCTGAAAAAATGAATGATAAGTGTGTTTAAAAAGAAAATTAAATAAAATAAAAACCATCCTTTTGTTTAATGACAAACACGATAAATTGAAAAGCCTAAAATTATCAAATTGATTTAATTTTTTTTGTGGATGATATAAACGAAGAATCCTAAAAAATGCACGGTTCGAATAATTAAAAAGAGAGTCATAGTGGGCCCACAAGCCCAAACAACACATTTGAGTCTAGATTATTGACACGAGAGAAGCCTAATCTAAGTAAAATACATACAAACATACGTATATATATGTTAAAACCTATCACCTACTTCACCCACTTAAACCTACTCCACTAAACCTAACCCACTACACCACTACCACCTCACCTACTCCACTAAACCTAACCCACTACACCACTACCACCTCCACTTCACCTACTCCTTACCTACTACACACTCACCCTCTTCTATATATAGGAATCATGAATCATTGTAATAAATACATCAATATAGCAATCAATAATACATAAATTCTTACAATATACATTTGTGTTTCTGGTTTTGCTGGTCATGTGCAACCAAAACTGATAAGGACATTCATACCTGGCTAGTGAAGAGGGATTGTGTTTCAGATCTAGAGGTGAAAAAGCTCTTGAGGCTCTGCAAACCATGAAGCATCAAACTCGTTAGTTGAAGGAACGAGTTGGTATTATTGTTGTTTTTTGCTTTTTCTTCTTCTTCCCCCCCATTCTTCAATACTATTACTTTCAGCTCCCGACAATATCTAACCTCAAGATTTTTTAGTTTCGGTAATTGTCGGGGCATATTGGACAAACCGACATACACCAGTTTCTCACAGCTCCTGATGGTCAAGTCTCTCAATTGTCGAAAAGACTCTGATGGAAGTAATTTCCTATCCCATATCTCTGTTATCATTGTTAGTCCATCAATATCCAATCTCTCCAAGGCAGGGAATGTAACCTGCAACATTCATAACATAATTGTTAAACATTAGACTCCAAGGTCAGCATTACAACAAGTAGTACAATGTAGCCCAATAAATTTATGTTAGTCTTAATTAGTCAATAATTGAAGTCCAATAAATTGATTTTACTATGTTCCAATTAATGCCAAAACTTAAATTGTTGGTTCCATAACAGTTAATATGATTTTGTTTTATGTAATGGAAACTATAATAGATTGGAAGTAACAAATCTTTTTGTTGCATTGGTGCAACCTTTTGTCCTCATTGTCCAATAGGTGTTGTGCACGAGTTGGTTTGATTGTTTTGACAGCAAATCATCAATTGAATATATTAAGAAAATTTCAACCAACTATAAATCCACCCTTTCTCAAAATTGATGGGTTCGGCAGATTAAAAGTACAAAATGAGAGAAAATCAGCCTTCACATTATTTTCACATTTCATCGTGATTTTTTCTATTTGACTTTGATAATTTGTGTTCTATGATTTTATGAAAGGGAATTGTTTGTCTCCAATTGAAATTTCAACTGGACCAGACAGTTGAGATCTCTTCCCGATAAAAGTCATTAAACGGAGGTCTCTTACCGCTGCAAGTTTATGAAAAGATTTAACTAAACGAAGAGTTAAAATAATGGGCCAATGCATTTCATAAACTCTTACTGGTAAGAGACCTCTGTTTAATGGTTGTTATCGGTAAGAGACCTTAACTGTCTGTTCCATTTGAACTTTCAACTACAGAAAAGACAAATCCTTTATAAAACACACCATTTGAGGTTTATTTAAAACCTTAAATTTTACTATTTTATTTTTTCAAGTTTTTAGATAGCAATATTCAACCAAATGTCAAAGTATTAAATTGGAAAATATGAAAGATTCAAAATAAATACACAAATCAATACATGACCAACAAGGGTGCCTTTCGGGCCTTGGGAGTCCACCATGGGTCACGTTTTGATGATTTAAATTTTTCATTTTGTAAAGTCCTTAGTGTATATAATCTAAAAAAAAAGATCGATCCAATAATCTTAGCCTATTTAATTTATTACAATTGCATCTGAAAAAATGAATGATAAGTGTGTTTAAAAAGAAAATTAAATAAAATAAAAACCATCCTTTTGTTTAATGACAAACACGATAAATTGAAAAGGCTAAAATTATCAAATTGATTTAATTTTTTTTGCGGATGATATAAACGAAGAATCCTAAAAAATGCACGGTTCGAATAATTAAAAAGAGAGTCGTAGTGGGCCCACGAGCCCAAACAACACATTTGACTCTAGATCATTGACACGAGAGAAGCCTAATCTAAGTAAAATACATACAAACATACATATATATATATATATATATATATACGTATATATACATTTGTGTTTCTGGTTTTGCTGGTCATGTGCAACCAAAACTGATAAGGACATTCATACCTGGCTAGTGAACAGGGATTGTGTTTCAGATCTAGAGGTGAAAAAGCTTTTAAGGCTCCGCAAACCATGAAGTATCAAACTCGTTAGTTGAAGGAACGAGTTGGTATTATTGTTGTTTTCTGCTTTTTCTTCTTCTTCCCCTCCATTCTTCAATACTATTACTTTCAGCTCTCGACAATATCTAACCTCAAGTTCTTTTAGTTTCGGTAATTGTCGGGGCATATTGGACAAACCGACATACACCAGTTTCTCACAGCTCCTGATGGTCAAGTCTCTCAATTGTCGAAAAGACTCTGATGGAAGTAATTTCCTATCCCATATCTCTGTTATCATTTTTAGTCCATCAATATCCAATCTCTCCAAGGCAGGGAATGTAACCTGCAACATTCATAACATAATTGTTAAACATTAGACTCCAAGGTCAGCATTACAACAAGTAGTACAATGTAGCCCAATAAATTTATGTTAGTCTTAATTAGTCAATAATTGAAGTCCAATAAATTGATTTTACTATGTTCCAATTAATGCCAAAACTTAAATTGTTGGTTCCATAACAGTTAATATGATTTTGTTTTATGTAATGGAAACTATAATAGATTGGAAGTAACAAATCTTTTTGTTGCATTGGTGCAACCTTTTGTCCTCATTGTCCAATAGGTGTTGTGCACGAGTTGGTTTGATTGTTTTGATAGCAAATCATCAATTGAATATATTAAGAAAATTTCAACCAACTATAAATCCACCCTTTCTCAAAATTGATGGGTTCGGCAGATTAAAAGTACAAAATGAGAGAAAATCAGGCTTCACATTATTTTCACATTTCATCGTGATTTTTTCTATTTGACTTTGATAATCTGTGTTCTATGATTTTATGAAAGGGAATTGTTTGTCTCCAATTGAAATTTCAACTAGACCAGACAATTGAGATCTCTTACCGATAAAAGTCATTAAACGGAGGTCTCTTACCGCTGTGAGTTTATGAAAAGATTTAACTAAACGAAGAGTTAAAATAATGGACCAATGTATTTCATAAACTCTTACTGGTAAGAGACCTCTGTTCAATGACTGTTATCGGTAAGAGACCTTAACTGTCTATTCCGTTTGAACTTTCAACTACAGAAAAGACAAATCCCTTATAAAAACACACCATTTCAGGTTTACTTAAAATACAGATTGCCCATGTAATTTTAGAAATTACATCTTGCACTTTTAAGTTTCCAGTTGTACAACAAATCACTTATTTCATTAATAAAATTATCGAGTCAATTAATATTTTTAATAATTTCATAAATATATTTCAATTTACTATTCAAGTAATTTTATTATTACATAAGAGAGTAATTAGATTTTTTTTTCTATTAATTATGTTAAACAAAAAATTCTAACAGTAGGGTATTTATAATTTTTGGAACCATAAAAAGTAATTTATATTTTAAGAAATATTAAGGAGTGTGTTTATAATTTACCTTAATTTTAAATAGTGAAAATCATATGATGCGTGCAAGTATTTGACCTATGGAAAAGAAAAGAAAATAAAAATAATCATCACGTGCCTTTGCTAGTATGGCTTTATTGTTTAGGTTTTTCAGCTCATTTAAGTCAATTGCGGTTGGTTTTTCTTTTTTTTTTGTTGATCAGCCCAAAAAACTTCATTGATGATAAAAAAATTACAAGCATAAAGATTACATCAACAAAGATGGAGTGCAAACAGCATCACAAAAGACCATCACCATCCCAACTAAGTTGGCACCGCAAAGCCTTGCCGATCATATGCTAGCATAGCTCGAAGTTGGTGAGAGACCAACTAGCAAACAGGGACAACACCAAAAAAAACAGCAGCAGAACAGAGTTTCTCTGCCTCAAGCCAACTGGGCTCATCCCAACTCAAGGCAATAATGCTCCTCCAAAGCACAACCTGATCTGACTTATATTACAAATGAAATCATTGATTGTGAAATTAAAATCCTTCTGGTATGGGTTCAACCACAGAGCGATCCTAGTCTTGACCAACTCACATAACTCAAACCAGTTTGGGTTAGCTGCCTTGAAGACGCACTCATTTCTAAGTTGCCTAATTGATCTTTAGTATGGTGTGAATGGAATAATTTGCACTGTTATGAGACTCTTGTACAATTTTTATCGATCGAAATAGAAAATCATGGTCGCAAGATTACTCAGCCTAAGTAAGTAGAAAGATTAAACAAAAAATGAGATACAGATGTATCATAAAAGGTAGGTCTCACATCATGTGGACCTCTTATGTTCAAGGATGAATCTAGGATTATCAATATAGGGGTGCAAAAATATATTTGGAGGTGTAAATTATTATTTTAATTATTTTAGATTTTCTAGCATAGTATATAATATTTTTCAGATTTTTGGGGGGTGTGGTCGCCTCCCTCCGCACCCCGCTAGATCCATCCTAGGGACCTCACCCCATGTGAGATATCTATATTATATTATGTGTTCAGTTTTTGTGTTTTTCATATTGATATAATAAATAAAACACTAAAGTAAAATTGATTGCGCTTGAAGCTGTTATTGATTGATTGCTAGTAACAACTCAAGCCAGTATGCATAGTCTATCAATTAATGTAGTTTTTAAATTGGCTCAATGGTTGGGATTGAACTTCCAAGAAGTTTCGTAAGATGTTTTGGGCAGGGACAAGTAACATTTTCATAATGGCGAGGTTGTGGGAGTTAATCTCTGACCTCCTCTAGTTGGAATGTTATCAATTCAAAAATCTAAATCTGTGGGAGGACCCAAAAAAAAAAAAAAATTCAAACAACTTTAATAAAAGCATCATTACAAGCCAAAAGGTTTGCATACCGTTGGCAAAATGATTTGACTGTGAACAATGCACCCTTCTCCAGTTTCCCAACAATTTATCTTCCTCATTGGCCACTAGATAGACGTTTCCAATTAGATTATACAATTCTTCCAGCATCTCCCTTTACTACACAAACAAATCCCTTCTAAACTTTTGATTCCATTGAGGCCTTGCATCATGCACGTGGCTTGATTGTTAACCGATGTACCGCATGGATGATTGTGATTGGTCCAGATGTGATTCTATCACACTATATTCGAGATATTCGGAGTAGAACTTGAGTCTTTGTAGAAGACAAATTCTTAGGTTGGATAAGTTGAGACTCATGTGAGAGGTCTATCCTAATCCAACTAGGATAGATGAGTCCTGGATTAGTGTTGTTTTTGTAGAGAACAAGTTTAGTAAGATTTATAAGATAAGGAGGGCACTGGTTCTCATATAAGGCACATGTGGGTTAAATGTACGTTTTTATTGGTGAGTTAATTGCTTGAGTTGTTACTGTTTGATAGTCTTTGAGATATATTGTTACTAACTTAATTGTCGGAGTGCCCTCCCAGTTGGTAACAATTGGTTTAGCTCTTTTGTTCTTTGTTTCAAATTTTGAATTCCATCTAGTGCACGCACTTTTTGACTTTATTCACTGAATCTTTATAGAGGATGCAATTTAGTTGTGTCATCAAATTTTAGCACACACAATACCCATTCCATACTACCGTGATCGCATTCTTGCGAGAGGAAAGCTTAATGGCAAATCACCTAAACCATACATCAATTCATAAGTTAATATTTAATCCATATCTAACTTTTAAAATCATATTTCCCACCACAATTTTCTGGACTTACTGTCTTTACAATCAAGGCCCGCAATTTTACCTTTTCTAACAATTTGTCCAAGGTAAATATTCAAATCCTTCACCTTCATCCTTCTCCACAATAACTTTTCTCCATTGGATTGGATTGAAGGGTGTTGTTTGGGTCTGTGAGATCCATCATGGGTCCTATTTTGATAATTCGAACCGTTTATTTTGTCAGGCACTTTGTGTATTTCATCTACACAAAAAATTAGGTCCATTCCATACTTATAATATGTCCAGTTTGATACATTTCTATAGCGACCCCGGTTTTTTCCCACTTGTTTATTGTATCCGGACTTAGGTTCCGTAGATTCTGTCATTGAATAATGGTTGTTGTTGTCCCTTATTTTCTCATTTGGAATTATAGGATGTGTTGGGCAGGTTTGTTTCAGGTTGGTTGGGTTTAGAAATCAAGTGTTGTTGTCCAGTATTTTGGATCTTCGCTCGAGCTAGGAGTTTGTCGCTCGAGCGAGCTGTTGTTTTTGGTTCTTCGCTCGAGCCGGGGTTTGGTTGCTCGAGCGAGTGTTTGCGTCTGGTTTGGACCTGTAGCCTTGCATTCTTGGCTCGAGCGAGCTTTTCTTCGCTCGAGCGAGTTAGTTCATCCTTCGCTCGAGCTATAGTTCCTTCGCTCGAGCGTGTGTCTGGTTACAGACCTGAGGGTTTGAGTTCTTCGCTCGACCGAGCTTTCTTTCGCTCGAGCGAGCATTTGAGTTGTTGGCTCGAGCAAGGCTTCCTTGGCTCGAGCGTAGTTTCTCTGTGTCTGGTCGCTCGAGCGACCAAGTCTTCGCTCGAGCGAGCCTGTCCAGTTTAAATACACAGCAGCGGGATTTGATCAGTCTTTTTCATATTCTTTTGATTCAAAACCCCAGGTTCGACCTCTCTCTCTCCCTACTCACCTTCTCTCTTAGGTTTGATCTGTTTAGAGAGTGTTTCAACCCTAGTTGCTTTATTAAAAAGATAGAGGGAGTCAAGAGCTTTCATTTAATCTGAACATTTGGCGAGTTGGAGCACATTGGTATTTGGGCACTCATCTCTGTCTTCACCTTTTGAGTTGTTGTCTTCGAGGTAGGGATTTCCTAAATGTTTTGGCCAGAGTACTGAGCCCTGTTTTGTTTTCAAACTCAAAGTTGAATAAGAAATGAAAGGTGAATTGTAACATAGGTTTGGTTGTCATGGAATTGAAATAAGATGTAAATGGAAGTGTAAGTATCGACCACCTATCAGTTGCTAATCTTTTAATCATTGTTCATAGTTGGTTTAGTATATCTCTGCTGGGCTGTGGCTCACCCTATATGGGAACATCATTTTCAGGTACAGGTAGCATGCCGCCTCTACGAACATAGCTTGGGAGGCTAGGGACAAGACATACTTTTGTTGCCTTATTTTCCTTTTGATGTATTACATGTAATTTCAAGCCAAGGGCTTAATGTGTAACCGAGTTAATACTCTCTTTTGTAACCAAGTGATAACTTGGAAAGCTGTAAGCCCGCAGGGCATTTACTTTTGTTGTTAACGTGTAATACTTTTGTAATGAAGTACTCTGATTAATTGAGGAAATGTGTATCTTTTGTATATAAATGTATGTTTATATTGATGGGTTTAATATTATTATTTTGAGGGCGTGACAAAGTATGTAGAAGATTAAACAAAAAATGAGATACAGATGTATCATAAAAGGTAGGTCTCACATCAT